GCGTGGATCAGTCCGACCCGTTCCGTCTGGAACCCGCTGTAACATCATATATATATATAGAGAGAGAGAGAGAGATCAAATTGTCTCACTAGCCATGTTTAACATCATGAAGTGTTAGCTTAAGATGCACAAACAGTTTTAAGAAGGTTTTGTGTTTGTGTTAGTCACTGACAATCGTCAGACACTCCCTGACAAGTGAGAAATACATATCCAAAAGTGTCCTGCTATGTTTTAAATTTTTAGATAAAAGATAGTTTTAGACCTATGTGTTTTTTGTCATTTTAGCCCCTTAAGTTTCAATTTTTTCATTTTGGTCCTCAAAGTTGTCAATTTGACTCAATTTGGTCCTATCCCTAACGTCTGTTTACATTGATAATGGGAAATGTATTTTATCCTTGGATAAAAGATAGTTTTGGTCCCTAAAGTATGCGCTCCTTGTCATTTTAGTCCTCAAAGTTGTGGATTTGACCTAGGACCAAATTGACAACTTTGTGGACCAAAATGACAAAATTGAAACTTAAGGGACTAGAATGACAAATAACGCATACATTAGGGAATAAAACTATCTTTATCCTAAATTCTTTTTGAGGATAAAAAACAACTTTAGTCTCTAAAGTATGTGCTATTTGTTATTTTAGTCCCTTAAGTTTCAAATTTGTCATTTTAGTCCTCAAAGTTGTCAATTTGAGTTAATTTGGTGCTATCTCTAACGTTCGTCTAAATTGATAACGGAAACATAGATAAAAAAAACAGTTTTAGTCCCTGAAGTATACGTTACTTGTCATTTTAGTCCCTTAAGTTTCAATTTGTCATTTTGGTCTTCAAAATTGTCAATTTAAGGCAATTTCGTCCTATCTCTAACGTTCGTCTACATTACAAGTGCAACTTGGGCGAGGTCAACCCAAGCCTAGCCCAACTTTTTTTTAGTGCTTAAGCAAAATATTTTTGAATTTGGTGAGGACTTGGACAAAAATTCAAATGGCCGAATTAAATTTAAGCGGGTTTGGGTAAAGACATCGAATAACCTAAGCAACCTGAAACCCAAATTATATGTATAGATATATCAAAATATTAAATATATATATATAAAAATTATTAGCCATTAGATGACATTAAAGTAATTTAGATTGTTAGATTATATTGAATATATATATATATATACAAGAACAAAACGCAAAATCTTACATTTTTCATTTTTGACTCTGAAATTATAAAAACCACTATAGACTATAGTTGCATATCAGTTCTTCAATTCTTATCTCTCTCACGTTATCTATATATATGTATATATATAAATTATTTGTTTTGACATTATTAATGATTTTATATAAAAAAAAATGAAAATAGAGTCTAATTTTAGCAAATTAATTAACTTTGTTGCACACACACACACACTCAAAAATAATGATAATATTCAAATTTATATGCAATTATGGCCTAACTCAGGTCGTGTTTAGGCAGACAACCCCCTCTTTTTTTTTGGAATGTCATTGTTATCCCCTTTAATCCTTAAAATTATATTGACACCCTTTGTTAGCTAACTCCATTAAATTTAATGGTAAAATGACTATAATACCCTTCTAGATTAATCAAATTTCATCTATCAGCCACTCCCTCAACTTTATTTAGGGTTAGTTTGGGAAGTGAGTATTTTAGCTTTTTGGCTAAAATGTGGTGAAAAAAACTAAAGTGTTGAAAATAATTTTTTACCTTTTTACGAAAAAATGTGTAAAAGTAAAGAGAATAAGAATGAATCTTTTACTTATTTTTATTTTTATTATGACGTTTTGATTTTTTTACTTCTTTAGTAAGTTTTGCTTTTTTAACTACATCAGCCTCCAAGCTGCTTTTATCGGATTATGATTTTTTCTTTAATGCACCACCGGGATTTCTTTTTCTTTTGTGTGAGTCCTCTGTGTGCAGTAACCGCACCTTCTGCCAACTGCACCTAGGATCGACAACATTTACCTCTGATACCACTTGTTGAGATTTATACCACATCCCACGAACGCAAACTAAAGCACACCCACCCACACGCCAAAGAGAGAAGAAAAAAAAAATTACACAGAGATTTACGTGATTCGGCCCAAATTGCCTACATCCATGGGAGAGAGAGCTTTCACTATGAATAAAATAGAGAATACATGTTAGATGGCCAAAACACTCAAAACCTACACCACTATCCAAACCCCATGCTCAAGGATAGTTGGGCCCTCGTTCACCCGGTGCCCACGGTATTTTTTTCTCTCATTCCTTACATCTCTACTTCTTTCCTCACTGCTCTCTCAATCTTTCTCAGAGAAACCCTATAGTTCACATGGCTATTTATAATAGTCTACCTGTGAGAATCCTGTATCCATACAATTAGGTAAACCAAATCTTACACGTATTAGGTTTTCTAGTAGATTCCGAACTCTACTGTCCTAACCCAAATACATGTATAAACCAGCCTAATAAATGTACGTGACCCACTTTTATCACGTGTGGACTAATCCTAACAGTTAAATTTTATATGTTACATGCTTGAAATTTGTGATAAATAGAAGTCACCTATCAGTTTTTGCATTGGTATGTAATTCTACTGGTCCCTTCCCCAATAGGAATCATTACATAATATAGACTCGAATGTATATGTGATACTAATCTTTCTTTTATTTATTTATTTATTTATTTATTTGGGGAGACAAGAGTGGTGAGATGCGATACTTAAAATACTTGCCAGAGAAACAAGGTAGCATTTGGGTTTTCCAAATTGAATGATTTCATCTTCACAAGCAAATATGTGTGGAATTCAATGGAATCATTGTGAGGATGGGAGCCATCACTGATTTCGATTGAATTTCATGAAGTAGAACCATTTGCTGGATCTTTTTTTTATTAGCAACAACAGAAATTGTATTAGAGGAATGTGTCAAGGAAGCACAACCCTTGTACAATGAAGAAAAAAGGGGAAAAGAAAAGAAAAAATGGTTCAAAATGATAAGGCCAATACCCTTTTGAAAAACCACTCCTATCTATTAAAACGGATTCTATATTACAAGTTTATGAAAGCTTTGGTTTTCTCAATGTAGTCACCTTTCAATTTTAGAGTTACATGATAAGATGCTACCCATGGCTCCATCCATTTGAATGTACATGTCCCTTCAAAAAGTATTTAGAAACCACTTATTTGAAGTGCCGGGTAAAATTTTTCTATCAGGGGGTGAATAGAACAGTTCTAATCTTTTTTGTTTTTCACGTTCTTAATCCCAATTTCTCTTTTTACTTGTGTTGGCTAGACAAATGTTTTCCTTCCTTAAGATTACTATCATATTCTTTATGAAACGATTCGATGTACTAGGATTTGTTCAACATAAATAAATTCCTCTAATGATGATTAATTATGTCTTTTATACCATTCATTGAGTTTTACAGTCTAGCGTCATTCACGCTTATGTTAATCTTAATTAATTTCAAGCACTCATTCAACAAGAATTAAAATAATCAATCATACGTTCATCTGATACATACAAAGCACATAAATTAGTGCAAGTAATGCAAAAAGATGAACAAGAAGATTTTTATAGTGGTTTGGCACACCAATTGTGCCTACATCCCCAACCTCCTTTGTGTGGGGGTTTTTCACTATACCTAAAGAGTTTTCTCTAGGTTCACCCAAAATCTTTACTCCATCAGGTTTTCCCTATGAAAACTCAAAAACCTTTACAACATCAAACAATTACAAATACAAGAATAGGGTTTTCTTTGCTAAACCCAAAACAAGCAACTACCCACACAATCCTAGGATCACTTAAACAATGGAGTTCACTAATAGAACCTTAGTATCTCTATGTGAGACTTGTGAAGATCTGTGATGGAACTAGTGTATACAACTAATGTCGTGTTTGGTTGGAAGATTTGGGAATGGATTAGGAAAGGGAAAAGGAAAGGGAAAGGGAAAAGGTGGGTGAAATGTGAATAAAATATATCTATATTTCACCTAGTTTCACACATTTTCTCATTTCTTTTTCAAATCCCTCTCCAAATCCCCAACCAAACACAGCTTAAGTATAACACAACTGAGAAAATATACCTTTCAAGTGAGAATTCCAAGGCTCCAATGGGAGTAAGTCCTCCAACCAAGGTTGCAAGAAAGTACCACAACCAACCTCAATCCTGCGAGGATGTAAACTTCTATAAGATGTGTTAGGGAGAATTAAGATTGTGTAATCTATAAAAATGGGAGCATTTGTTATTAGTAGCCTTAGCCAAAAAAAAGCTACAATTTTAAAATTTTCCCAAGCGTGGTTGACCACACGATGTCATGGTTGACCAAAAGCCGATATGGTCGACTATAATGTGGTCTGAAGTTTTTGGGCTCCTGGGACTTACACTCTGGTCGATCATACATTGAGACTTCTCCTACTGCTCTTTGGACCGACCAAGCTGACAAACTTGGGCTTATTTAGCTCTATTTGTCCTACCCTGGTTCCCTGCTTGTCCAAATCCTTCTTCATGCTGGTGGAACTCTTCCACAGCACTCCATTAATGTCGGTGAAGATCTCATACCATTTCAAGCTTCCAAGATGATGTAGACAGTCCAATGTGCTCTCCTTATTTTAGTGGCTCGGGTTTCTACCCAAGGTTGCACTATAAAATTCTGGAAATTGCCAACTCAATGCTAATGATAACTTTAGCATAGGGTTTTCCTGTGTGGACTCTTTTTGGGGGGAACAAAAAGGTGCAGTGTTTTTGATCTGTAAGTTTGATTTTTCATTTAGCAGTTCTGGCTGCTTCTAGTATTGTACGATTTCCAACTTATAGGGACATACTTTTCTTCTAAAAAAATAAAAGAAATGGGTAGAAGTGAAGGTAAAAACTAAAATTAACTTAGTTCCTTCTGAAAATGAAAACGGCTGATTTTACAAAAGGAAGGAACAATGGAGATTGATTGGTTTTGAAATGACAATTATTAAATTGTTTGGTACAAACTAATTTTGCATCATATTGTTTGATGTCAGGAAATCTGGCACCAACACATACGATGTTATAATGAATGATGGAGCCATTCTGGCTGGCCAATTTGGAGTTCCTGTAGAGATGGAGAGCAAGTTCAAGTTGGAGTTGCTGTAAGAACCTCTCAATTATAGTAGTTGCATTGCCTAGTCTATATTCTCTGTTTAGATGGTATAATATAAATAAGAAGCCGTTATTTTACTTTGATTGTCATTTTGCAGTTATACTGATGAAAAGATCAGAATTACCCGAGGGTACAACAATATTAATTTTGTCCACGTACAAGTGGATGGGTCTAAGCAGAAATGAATTATCTGCACCAACCTGAAGAAGATAGATATGTAACCTATGTTGCTTCTGAATATGACCATGCAAAGAACTGATTTTGCATATTTATTACCAAGTTTAATCCCGACATTCTGTTTACACACTATTGTTGACAATTTGGAGACATTTTTTGGTGATATAGTAGAATGGATGGTATTTTCGAGATTGCTGAGTAGTTGGGGTTTCAATGGTTAGTGGTTTAATATGTTATCCCTTAGGGACCGGACTCTCTCCAGTTGAGTTTGCCAACTATAAGGTGTTGTTGGGCCTTAGTGGGCTCACCACGGAGCCATATCGATGATCCAAATTGTTTAACATGTAGAACCCGTCGATTACTTCATTCCTACAAAAAATCACGTTAATCAGATATCGATAACTACTAATTTTAAAAATAAATTATTAACACAAATGTGATATGATCAAGTAGCTATCAATATCTGATTAACGTGATTTTTTTGCAATGATAAAGTATTCGATGAGTTCTACACATTAACGGTTTGGATCATTAATGCAGGGTTTGTGGTGGGCCCACGGAGGCTCAACATCACCCTCTAATCCGATATAGACTGAAAAGAAGTTTTTTCCTATTTTAATACAATGTTTGGTTCACCAAAATAAGATGAAATACTCATTCTTTAGACTATCTTATAGAATGATTATTTCATTGCAATAGTGAATGATGATTTTATTTACAATATCATTTTATTATTTTTTTAGTCAACAAACCTGGGAATGTAAATTTTGATGGAATAATCATTCAATTATATTCCATTATAATTAATCAAACACTACCTAAATGTAAGTTTTCTTTCAGTTGTCATGAGATCAGGAAGGAACCACCTCTTGTAAATGGGTACTGGATCTATCATATGTTAATTTGCAACATAATCCTATGGTTTCGTTTGGTGCGAAAGATTGTGTTTGGGTAAATATTTGAGGATGGATTTATGAAGGGAAATAATAATGAAGGGGAAAAGTGAATAGAATGGGAAAAAAAAATTGTTTTTATTTTTTATTCTGCCCTACAAATCCCATCAATAAATTGATCTAAATACAGTAAAAGAAAGGAAAAATTATTTTCCTATTTGTGTTAATTTAATAATAAATTTTTGCAAAAAACTAAAATTGAAGAAAAATTAGCAATATATCCTCCATAAAGTTTAGGTAGTAAGAGAGATCTAAGATAAAAAAAATTTCCTAGTGAAGATCCTCACTGTTATTATTTTAGTAGCTTAGGTCTTTTATTCCGCCTCTTACCTATTACATTGTTTAAGTGATTTGAAAACTTTAAAATTTAATAAATTTTTTTATTTACATCTCTATTTTCTATAAAATTTATATTTTTATAATTCAATTGACAAATCTTTCAAACAAGATCGATGAGTAATATGAAATTTAGAAGAAAAAAATTCATGAAATTTCACTAACTCATTGACTTGGTTATCAAAATTTCACTGATCAACAGAAATTCAGTGACTTAGTGAAATTTCATTGACTTAGACTTGGTCATCAAAATTTTATTGACCAACTAAAATTTCATTGACCTATCTTAGGCCAGTGAAATTTCATTAATTTTTTTTTTTTTTAGAATTTTGTATTTATCATGGATCTTATTTTACAGATCTTGATGAAAAAATTTTACAAATACAAATTTTATAAATAAAAAAAAAAGAATTAAAAAAAATAAAGATCTAGATAAAAAGAACTAGAATTTTCAAATACGTTTGAAAAGTTATAAAAAAAATAAAAGAAATGGGTAGAAGTGAAGGTAAAAACTAATGGGGTGGTAGTTCCTTCTGAAAATGAAAACGGCTGATTTTACAAAAGGAAGGAACAATGGAGATTGATTGGCTTTGAAATGACAATTATTAAATTGTTTGGTACAAACTAATTTTGCATCATATTGTTTGATGTCAGGAAATCTGGCACCAACACATACGATGTTATAATGAATGATGGAGCCATTCTGGCTGGCCAATTTGGAGTTCCTGTAGAGATGGAGAGCAAGTTCAAGTTGGAGTTGCTGTAAGAACCTCTCAATTATAGTAGTTGCATTGCCTAGTCTATATTCTCTGTTTAGATGGTATAATATAAATAAGAAGCCGTTATTTTACTTTGATTGTCATTTTGCAGTTATACTGATGAAAAGATCAGAATTACCCGAGGGTACAACAATATTATTTTTGTCCACGTACATGTGGATGGGTCTAAGCAGAAATGAATTATCTGCACCAACCTGAAGAAGATAGATATGTAACCTATGTTGCTTCTGAATATGACACATGCAAAGAACTGATTTTGCATATTTATTACCAAGTTTAATCCCGACATTCTGTTTACACACTATTGTTGACAATTTGGAGACATTTTTTGGTGATATATTAGAATGGATGTTATTTTCGAGATTGCTGAGTAGTTGGGGTTTCAATGGATAGTGGTTTAATATGTTATCCCTTAGGGACCGGACTCTCTCCAGTTGAGTTTGCCAACTATAAGGTGTTGTTGGGCCTTAGTGGGCTCACCATGGAGCCATATCGATGATCCAAATTGTTTAACATGTAGAACCCGTCGATTACTTCATTCCTGCAAAAAATCACGTTAATCAGATATCGATAACTACTAATTTTAAAAATAAATTATTAACACAAATGTGATATGATCAAGTAGCTATCAATATCTGATTAACGTGATTTTTTGCAGGAATGAAGTAATCGACGGGTTCTACATGTTAAACAATTTGGATCATCGATATGGCTCCATGGTGAGCCCACTAAGGCCCAACAACACCTTATAGTTGGCAAACTCAACTGGAGAGAGTCCGGTCCCTAAGGGATAACATATTAAACCACTAACCATTGAAACCCCAACTACTCAGCAATCTCGAAAATACCATCCATTCTACTATATCACCAAAAAATGTCTCCAAATTGTCAACAATAGTGTGTAAACAGAATGTCGGGATTAAACTTGGTAATAAATATGCAAAATCAGTTCTTTGCATGGTCATATTCAGAAGCAACATAATTCAACTTGACCATTTGATTGAGGGTAGGCCGGTGTAGAGTTGTAAAATTCAATCTTTAACTCCTCACAAAACCCGCGAAAGAGTTTTTTGTCGAACTGAGTGCCATTATCTGAAATGAGGGCTTTTGGGATGCCGAAGCGAGTGATGACATTCTGCCAGACAAACCTCTTTACTTTTTTTTCCTTGATGGTGGAAAATGGCTCTGCCTCTACCCACTTAGTGAAATAGTCCGTCGCTGCGATGAAAAATTTGCGGTTGCCCGGAGCGGTTGGAAGCGGTCCTACAATGTACCCACAAAGCGCAAATGGCCAAGGACTTGTAAGGGGGAGCAACTCTCTGGCCGGCTGGTGGATTTGGTGAGCGAATTTTTGGCATTTTTGGCATTTGTGAACATACTTCTACGCGTCGGCCTGCATACACGGCCACCAATAACCCTGAGAAATTGCACAGTATGCCAAAGATCTGCCCCCAATGTGGCTTCCACAGATGCCTTCATAGATCTCGAAGAGGAAAGCTTCAACCTTACTAGGGTGGACACACTTCAGGGATGGCCCAGTAAAGGATTTCTTGTACAAGTCGCTAGATGGAGAGAGCCAAAACCGCTCTGACTTGGTTCTGATCTTGTTGGCCTCTTTCTTTTCAATGGGCAGAATTCGATCCTTCAGAAAGGTGATGATTGGATTCATCCAGGACAGTCCCAAGTCGGCACAGAGTACTTCGGGCGCCTCTTGTTCCTTAATGCTTGGTCGGGGCAAGAATTCTATCATCAATGGATTGGGAAAAGTTGTCTGCATAGATGCTAGGCCAGCCAACTTGTCTGCTTGGCTATTTTCCTCGTGGTCAATTTGCTTGAAATCCGTATGAGCGGTTTCAATTCCGCACGAACAAAAATTTTGCCTTCACGGGTGGTTTGCTCCAAAAAGCTGTCTAGAAAATTCACCAAAATCCGCTTAAGCAGGACCCAAAATCCGCTCGAGCAGTTTCCTACCCAGAAACCTAGAAAACCCTGTGTTGATCCGCTCGAGCGGTTGCCAAATCCACACGAGTGGTTTTTGCCCTGAACCCAGAGTTTGATTTTTCAATCCAAAACAAGCTTCAATGCTCAAAGCTCAAAGTTTTCAACCCGGAAACATTACGATAGGTTAAATAAGAGTAGGAAAGGAAATTACACGACTCAATACGATAAACAAAATCCCGAAAGCAATGCACACTGCTTTACTACACAATACTATTTAAGTCCAATACCTGGGACATCACAATTAAGGTGTCATGTCACATGTTGCTTGCTATTAAATTTGTTACGTTACGTAAGTGAGAGTGGTAGCTATTATTAATATATACATAATTAACAAGATTTGTGCTACTTAGATTTTTCATTTTTCTTTGCATGGTTAGCTTTAATTGTTGCGAACCCTCCCCCGTGCAATATATCTCTCGTTATCAATGTAAAAAAAATAATTAATTAATTTCCAAGTTTGTTTGGGTTTCTTATCTTTTTTGTTTTATTTTCTTCTTCAGTTTTATTTTTTATTATTTTCAGGTCAAAAATTCAAACAAGTTGTAATGATATCGATAATTAGTATGAGATCTTGGCAATGTGCTCATCAAACCAATTTACAATCCAAGCTCGTGGAAATGCTGGTGGCTGTTCATGTTGAGTTGCCAAAGTTACATACAAAACACAATACTTGTTTTTTTAGATTAGTAAAATGAAAATTTTATTAAATAAGAGCACCTCGGGATAAAGAGGTTAAAGAAAAAACTTTCTACATAAAATTAAAAAAAGTTATGATTATTAAATCAATATAAATTTTTTCATGAATGATATAAATTGAGAATTCTACAAAATGAACGGTTCAGATTATCGAAATGAGAATCATAATAGATTCTACGAGCCCTTCAAATTCTCTCACGCCTATTTTAAAGATGTAATGTGCCGCATTAAATAATAAAATAAATGATTATTGTATATAATTTTGGATAAATTACACTTTGCCTTCATTATGTTTGGTCACTTTTTGACTTTAGCCTTTAAAATTTATTTTTTCCCACTTCGGCTCTTCATATTTCAAGTTTTTTTTTTCAGTTTACTTTTAAAACTAATTTCTATTAAAAATTAGACCAAAAAAATACATTGACAGTCACATGATATAAAACTATTTTATTTTATATAACTCACATGTCTGACATAAACTTAAATATCAGTATAATAATATATTTTTTATGTTATGTGACAGTTATTATGACATTTTTTTGTCCAATTTTGAACATAAATTAACTTTAAGAGTAAACTAAAAAAAAGTTGTGACATAGGCCCCGTTTGGTATAACTATTAAAATAGATTATAAATTATGACTTTAATCAAAAACTGTTAATCTGTTTGGTGTAACTATTGAATTATTGATTTAAGTTACTGAGTAGTGTTTGCTAAATAAGTTGTGAAGTAGTTTTTTTAATTAATTTTTATTTTTTGTTATTCATTACTTGTCTACTTTCAGGTTAAAATATATATATATATATATATATATATATATGACAACAATTTTGATATCATTATTAAACCAATCTATTAAATCAAAAAATTCAAAACGAAATACATTTTATATATTAAACATATTGATTACCCATTAAAAACTTAATAACCATCCATTACATGATAACCATCTAAAAACATCTGTTAACAGCAAAAACAACCATTCATTACATGATAACCATGAAAAAACATTAACAAAAATAACCACCAATTACATGATCATAATCTAAACACATACTAAAAATTAATTTGGTAAAAAAATATATAAAAAAAATGTAAGATTTATAAATTTTTTTATAAAATTTACAAAATTATCATTCAAAAATATTTTTTTGATATTTATTTTTGTCAAACTAGTTTATATTTTATCAAATTGACAACGTTTCAAGGAATAGAGCATTTGTTGTTTGCAAAGGAAATAGCGCCTTCAATTGTTCTTATTTGGAACGAGATTTAAAATTTAGAGTCAAATGTATAACAATTGGCAAGGTTATGGACCGAAATGATACAAATCTCAAATTACAAGTACTACTAATATAATTCGCCTTATTATAAAACTTAAAAAGGGCAAAGCATAATTTATCCTAAAATAAAACATACAAGCTCCTTTCACTAATTACCATAAATAAATAAATAAATAAAAAATAAGAGTTAAGCATGTCTCTAGTTCATTGTTCATTTTTTTTTTTTTTTTTTTGGGAGGGGGGTGTTGGGCTTTGTAGGGCTCAACATTATCTATTTTAATAATTTGAATTATATTTTGTCAAATTTTATGTATAGATTATTTATACATAAAAATTAGATTGATTCAATAGTTATAATTATATAATTTTAATATATTCGAAGACAAATTTAACAAAATTATATAGAAATGATTATTTAATCAATTTATTTTTTATTTGGATAATTTAAACATAATGCTTGATAAAATAAATACTTTAAAACATCAAAAATGATTAGCGTAATGAAGCCCACTAAGGTCGGAGAAACTTGAATCTAAGAGCTGTGTAAAATATCAACAAAACCACCAAAACCATTCGAACCAAGTCGATCTGTGCATTTTTGGAGGGCTAGCGAGGCTGGTTAGGTGTTCTAGGAGTGACAGGTCGGTTCAGATGGCGGTTTCAAAAGGCCAACCCACTTGTCAAATTGACCCGACCCACCAATTGTATTTAATAAAACATATCCTCACACACACCCAATCAGTTTCCAATTATATATGTGCATAAATCTATACTATTTTCAAGTGAAGGCCCAATTATATATGTGCATGTACTGGATGGAGGACTTGGCCTTTACACGTGTAAGGTGGTGGGAGGCGAGCGCAACCAACTTTCCAGGGAAGGACAGCAGAGGTAGTGCGCGCACAATCCCGAGGCTGCATGGCCAGCCAAGAAAAAGAAAGGGAGGATGAACGTTGGGGGTAAGCAACTTGCGCTATCTGAAACATTCTCTCTCTCGAATAGCCTCCTTCTTCCTCAAGTGATCTGACTTGATCGTCGGAGGGTCTATCCGGCACACCACCGCCGGGCAGCTCACCGTTCTCTGTGTTGTCAGGTTAGACGCCGTCACGTGAAGCTTGAACTCCAAGGAGTACGGAAAGCAGAGGATATTTCGCCCCCGTACACTTTATATATATACATATATATTTATACTGCTTTCTAGTATCTCATTTGGATGGAGTGATTTGGAGAGAAAATAAAAGAAAAGAAATAATTTTTTTCTTGATTTTATGATCACTTGTTTTGATTACTAAACATGAGAGAAATGAGCAGAAATGAAAAGAAATTAATTTCATAACTCATTTTTTGAATCTCTCTAAAATTGGAGAGATTGGGAGAGAAA